CATAACATAACATAACATAACATAACATAACATAACATAACATAACAGAACATAACATAACATAGCAGAACATAAAATAAACATAACATCAGTTTATCTAACACTGTCCACCTCTTCAAGTTCATCACCATATCCAATGAGAAATGAATATTTTTTTCATTTATTTATTTATTCACACTACATTTCAAGCATTGCCTTCTGCTCCTTTCCCAGTCTTTTCTTCACAGAGTGCACCTCCATTCCCCATCTCATTTTTTTGCTGAGAAAGGGTAGCCTCTTCTCTGGGCAGAAACCCAACCTGGCACACCATGACCCTGCAGGACTAGGCACATCAGCTTCCATGTAGTCCAGACATGGCAGTCCAGTTTGGGGAACAGGATATACAGACAGGCAGCAGAGTCAGGGACAGCCCCTGTTCCAGTTGCTGGAGGACTCTAATGAGGATCAAGCTGCACATCTCCTACATAGGTGCAGGGGACTTAGGTCCAGGCCGTGTATGCTCTTCAGCTGGTGGTTCAGTCTCTGGAAGCCTCCAAGCATCCAGGTTAGTTTACTCTTTTGGTCTTCAAAGTTTCTCAATCTTTCCCTTAAATCTGTGAAAATACACACTGAGCGTTGTCTAATGTTTGACTGTGGATCTCTACCTATGTTTTAGTCAGCTGATATGTGGAGACTATCAGAGGACAGTTATGCAATCTGCCTAATTTTAATTTATCCTGCATGCAAGCATGACACAGTATCATTATTACTGTCAGAGATTGGTTCCTGCCCAGAGAATAATTTTTAAGTTAGGCCAGTCATTGGTTGGCCATTCCTGTAGTCCCTGCTCCATATTTTTCCTTTCTGCCTGGGATGTCTTTACATACCATAATCGGGGATTCTCTCTACACATATATTTTTTCGTAATCTTTGATGAGTCCACATATTTATTCAACTCTCTGCTTTCCATGTGACATGTGTTTCTGTGTTTATTTATTACTGTGTTTTTCTGTCCATGGATGTGTGTGTCTGTGTGTCTGTGTGGATTGGTGTGTGTGTGTGTGTGTGTTTGTGGTTGGAGGGGTATGTGTACATGATGACATACAAGGCCTTTGAATGTCAATCAGTAGCACATTTTTCAGACATGTGCTCTCATTGGGCCTTAATATTTGAGCTGGTTAGATTCATTGGCCAGAGATCTCCTGCTGGTGTTCCCTCCATTTCCTAGAAGTGGGATTAAAGTTTGGAGTCACACTTAGTTCTCTTGCTATCCATGGAAATCTAAGGTAAGTTATCATTCAAACATTTTTGATTGTCAAGAAAGTTAACCACACAAATATCTCTATATTGCCACTACACATACATTTTTTTAAATGTAACATTTACCCAGAAATTAACAAAATGCAGAGCATCACACAGGGCAGAAATTACTGGGTTTAGGAAACAGTACCATATACAAAACTCAAGGAACCTGAAGAGTGGGGAACCATGGCATCTTAGAGGAAACTCAATTAAGTTTCACATTTAGGGGGCTGTGTGCAATCAAGTTACAGCCAGGGAGGAATTCAGAAAGGGTCAGTGAACCATTAATACACATGAACTTAACTCTCACCAACCTTCTCACACAATTCATGTACCTTACACATAAAATCAAGCACAGAAACAGCTGTGGTCACAGATCACAGGTCACTTTCTTGTCCTGGGATTTCTTAAAATATTGTATAAATAGGGATGGTACTAAAATGAATGTGAGATTGAAGCATCAAGACCTCTCAAATATAAGATAATATTAACTAATATGTAGCTTGACCATGAACTCTTTCCCTTCAAAAACGAAGTCTCTTAGTGACTTCCTTCTACAGAATTTCATAAAAAGGAAAATTGAAGTAACATAAGGTAAAACTACTTGAGTAAGGGGTATCATATCAAGTTCCCCAATTCCCAATGAGAAATAGATATTTGTTTCTTTCATAGTCCTTCCCAAATTTTAAAAGGACAATGAAAATTTCAGATAAATCCAAATGGGATATACTGAGCATAATGCCTGAAGAATATTTTTCTAATATAGACCGGAAGAATAGAGCACTGACAGTGCTGTGTACCCATCAGAAGTTGCACAAGATGGCTGTCTCACCAATGTCAAGTCTTGTCTCCACCACTGCCACTCATAGTTCAAAGATTATGCATAATGAAAGAAGGGACACAAAACTTGATGTCCCCAGTGACAACAAGGCAGACAGATATTTTCTGGTTGCTGAAAGAACAGGTTGTTTCCAGCTCTCCAATTCCTCCTCTGGTGGTGTCAATTACCACTGGAGAAAAGCACTACAGTGTCTGGTTCTCTATGGTCATCAACTCCTCAAGGCACAGAGTCCCCATATTCATCCTGGCCCTCTGCTCAACATCTAGGTTCATTCATTAATTCATCAATATAGTCCTCAATCCTGGTTGCATAGACCACTATGACATGTTATAAACTGCAGACCTTTCAATCCTACACCAATACAGAAATATATTTAGGAACCTGAGGTTTTATGTGCTACAAGATGAACAGCAACTAAAAGAGACATAAAAAGTACATACAGATAAACACATGAAATCACATATACTAAAAGTTTTACAGAACTCCCTCATGAGTGATATTTTCCAGATGAGTGATAAGAATAAGATTCACTAAATTCTAAAAAGTCTTTCATTTCTTTCTTTATGTCTTCCTTGACCAAGTCATCATTGAGTAGACAGTTGTTCAGTTTCCATATGCGTGTGGGCTTGCCACTGTTTTTGTTATTATTGAAGACCAGCCTTGGCCGGGCGGTGGTGGCGCACGCCTTTAGTCCCAGCACTTGGGAGGCAGAGGCAGGCTGATTTCTGAGTTCGAGGCCAGCCTGGTCTTCAGAGTGAGTTCCAGGACAGCCAGGGCTATACAGAGAAACCCTGTCTCGAAAAATCAAAAAAGAAAAAAAAAAGAAGACCAGCCTTAGTCCGTGGTGATCTGATAAGATGCAAGGGATTATTTCAGTCTTTTTGTATCTATAGAGGACTGTTTTGTGATCAATTATATGGTCTATTTTGGAGAAGATACCATGAGATGCTGAGAAAAAAGGTATATTCTTTTGTTTTAGGATGAAATGTTCTATAGATTTCTGTAAGTCCATTTGGTTCATAACTTCGGTTAATTTCAAAGTGTCTCAGTTTAGTTTCTGTTTCCATGATCAGTCCATTGCTAAGAGTGGGGTGTTAAAATCCCCCACTATTATTGTGTGAGGTGTAATGTGTGTTTTGAGCTTTGGTAAAGTTTCTTCTATGTATGTAGGTGCCCCTGCATTTGGAGCATAGATGCTCAGAATTGAGAGTTCACCTTGGTAGATTTTTCCTTTGATGAGTATGAAGTGTCCTTCTTTATCTTTTTTGATTACTTTTGGAGGAAAGTCGATTTTCTTTCATATTAGAATGGCTACTCCAGCTTGTTTCTTAGGACCATTTGCTTGGAAAATTGTTTTCCATCCTTTTATTCTGTGGTAGTGTCTGTCTTTGTCACTGAGGTGTGCTTCTTGTATGCAGCAAAATTCTGTTTGTGTATCTAGTCTGATAGTCTGTGTCTTTTTATTGGGGAATTGAGTCCATGGATGTTAAGAGATATTAAGGAAAATGATTGTGGCTTCCTGTTATTTTTGTTATTAGAGGTAGAATTATGTTTGTATAGCTATCTCCTTTTGGAGTTGTTGGAAGATTACTTCCTTGCTTTTTCTAGGTTGTAGTTTCCCTTTGTGTGTTGGCGTTTTCCATCAATTATCCTTTGAAGTGCTGGGTTTCTGGGAAGATATTGTGCAAATTTGGTTTTGTCATGGAATATCTTGGTTTCACCATCTATAGTGTTTGATATAGATGTCTCCTCAGAGGTCTGCAAGAGTCTGACATATTCAGAGGCAGATGCTCACAGCTAGCCATTGAACTGATCATGGGGTTCCAATGGAGGAGTTAGAGTGAAGACTGTAGAAGCTGAAAGGATTTGCAGCCCCATGAGGAGAGCAACAATACCAGAGCAACCAACCAGAGCTCCCAGGGTCTAAACCACCAGCCTGTGAGCACGTAGGGAGGGATCCATGGCTTCAGCTGTATATGTAAGAGTGGAGGGCCCTGCTGGGCATAGGTGGGAGAAGAGATCCTTAGTCTCATGAAGGCTGGATGCCCCAGGGAGTGGGAATTTGAGGATGGGGAGGTGGGAGTCAGGGAGGGGGGTAGGTAGGGGTACATCTGCAGAGAAGCAGGAGGAGGGGTGAGGAGATAGGGGGTTCCTGGGTGGGTGGAGGATGGGGTAAGGGGATAACATATGAAATGTAAATAAAACATCCAAAAAAAAGAATAAGATTTACTATTCTGTAGCTAAAGAAAATAATTTTAAGTAATTTTTTAACAGGATTTCCAATAATAAGAAGACCAATAACTTCCTAAACTGTCTCCTGGAATTTACAAAGATATAAAAATTCATGAAATCTAAGGTACCTGGTTCTGCCTGCACTGTACGAATGTGGACTCACATGCTGTAAACATCCCAGTGTTTGCTTCCAAGGCCTGAATCATGGGAATCAATTAATTTTCTGCTTATCTGGACTTGGAAATCCAGACAGAACCAGGAAAAATGTTCATGAGACAACATTACCATTTCCTCTAAAAAGACTAGGCAAATCTAAATCAGCTGAGGAAAAAAAATGGAAATCTTGCTGAGTGCTTGCTTTTATCACCTCAGGAACCTCCCCCAATGCAAAGCAAACCCCAGCTCAGGTTGAAAGCCCAGGCCTAGCTGAGAAGCCCCATCATCTTCTCCTTAGAGCCTCCATCAGAGCATGGCTGTCCTGGTATTGCTCCTCTGCCTGGTCGCATTTCCAAGCTGTAAGTGTTTCAGAGTTTGAGGAGAAGGACTCAAAAATGACGTCTGTGGAATGTATGACTGATGTTGATGTTTTTCCACAGGTGTCCTGTCCCAGGGGCAGCTGAAGGAGTCAGGTCCTGACCTGGTGCAGCCCTCACAGACCTTGTCCCTCACATGCATTGTCTCTGGGTTCTCATTAACCCCCGATGGTGTACACTGGGTTCGCCAGCCCCCAGGAAAGGTTCTGGAGTGGATGGGAGTAATGTGGTATGATGGGAAAACAGATTATAATCCAGCTCTCAAATCCAGGCTGAGCATCACCAGGGACACCTCCAAGAACCAGGTTTTCTTAAAAATGAACAATATGCCAACTGAAGACACAGCTACCTACTACTGTGCCAGAAACACAATCAAGGAAGTCTAGTACGAACCTGCACAAAAACCTCCCTACAGGGATCCTCAGGACCAGCAGAGGGCAGTGACAACCAACAAGAACTTCTCAGGCTCACTTCAGAATCTAAGAAATTCTGGCTTATGCTGTGTGAGCATACTTTTTAATGTTAAAGAGGTAGACTCTTCTTCCAGCCATGGAAATTCACTACAGCCTTCTCTGCAGTCTCAGATTCTATTACAATTATTGTTTGTTCACACACTAGTAGAATATTTAAGTGATTCTATAATCTAACAGTGTAAAAACAGAACAAACTAGAGTTGATATTTATCAAGATAACTCAGTAAAGGACTGTGTTGGTGAGGACAGACGGGGAGATTTGATAATGGATTTTTTTCTCACATTGCTGCAGTTTTGTAACATTTCCACTGTTTATTGTACTTAATTGATCTTTGAGATTAATTGGACTCACCTTCCCTAACATGAAGTTTTTAAACACATGTCCACAGATTAATGAGGACACAATTGTCTTTCTGAGTTCTAACTCATAAGATCTGCTCTCCATATATTAAGAACACACTATGCTCTTATTAAATGTGACCAACGTCCATACACATTATTATTGAATTAATGTAAACATTGATAATCTTGTGTAAGAAGTAGTCAAAGGAAGAGTCCTTCTGTAACATAGGTAACATTAAGTAGATTCAAATGTTAATATTTCAAAATCTCATTCCTCATTTTGATTAGTAAATATTTCACTTGAATCTATACTATTCATTATTGTAGGAAAGACACTGTTTCTCAAGGAGATCCATCTCCAGGATTGCCTCAGTTTCTGTTTTCTTTATAGTTTCTATTCCCATTTTCAGTTCTTGGCAGTTTCACTCATTTCTTTCACCTATTCAAATGTATTTACCTGCATTGCTTTATGGGATATATTCATTTCCTCTCTCAATAGACTTTCTCATATTTATGAAAAGGGGTTTAAGGTTACCTTTTTGTGCTCTGGCTATGTTAGAATAACCAGGGCTCGCTGTAGCAGGATAGCTGGGCTCTAGTTGTGCTATATCTCCCTGGCTCTTGTTAACTGTGTTCTTACACTGTCCTTTATACATCTGGTTTTCTGTGGTGATGGACGGAAGACCTTGATGACACCACTACACCCCAGGAAGTCAGGGAGAGCCATGGGATAGACAATGGAGTTCAGGGAGGCAGCACACAGCTTACCTATGCTGGCTGTGTCCCAGAACAGATCTGAATGTCAAGGAATTTGTGGAAGAGGATTTCAAGCTGGTTGTTCCGGTGGACACCCCCTTAAGGCCTCCACAGGGATACAGGAATCCTTCCAGCTCCTCAAGATGGCATGGAATATACAGAGTCAGGCAGTGGAGATGAGGGGACCACGAATGCAAATTATTCTGCTACTGTGCCCCAGGCAGATCAAACTGGAAAAAAATTGGTGAAGCAGGGTTCCAATATGGTTGTTCTTTGTGGCCCACCACAGACCTCCACGGGAAAGCAGGGCATCCTTGATGTCCTACAAGGCTCTAAAATATAGCCTTCATATAAATATAATTTATAATTAATATAAAATTTATATTATTGGTGTCTCATAGGCTTACTACTGAATAAGCTCACAACTGCTGGTTCTTTAAGAACTCAGGCTAGCTGACTCAGCTCAGCTGCTGGGGCTGAGAAGACTCTAAGCTGACTGATTCAATGCGGCTTTTCTCAGCTTCACACTGAATTGCTCTGCTGGGCCTCACGATAACTGTTCTCATTTTCTGGCTCATTCTTATTCCCTGGCTTAAACTGCCTATGCTGAATTTCACTGGACTACATGAACTCATGAACCAAATTAAACCCACTGCATTATACTCAATGTCTCAATGTCTCAGTATTCTCCCTCCCTATCCCTCCCTCCCTCCCTCCCTCCCTCCCTCCCTCCCTCCCTCTCTCCCTCTCTCTCTCTCTCTCTCTCTCTCTCTCTCTCTCTCTCTCTCTCTCTCTCTCCTTGCACTGTACTTGAACAAGTCATCTTTCTATCTCTTCTTTCAGAGTTCAACATGTCCTATCTCTGATATATTCTATCAAGTTTTTCCATGAGTAACTGCCTGCTAAGGAGAAGTGATTTTCAAAAATGCCTGCTTTCTTCTAGAAGCTAACATTACCTAACATCGTTTTGGACTAAAGGTGTGTACCAAGGTCATGTCTATATCCCAGCCAGATCACACAGATGTAAGTCTTTTGGTGTGAATTGCTAAAAGCGCAGCTAAGACGCTGGATTAAATTTTCTCTACAGTCTTAGTTTGCTATCCACTGCTAGTCACTAAGTAATAATTATACAGGTTTTGTGCACATTATTAAATAACAATTACTTCCGTACTTTCATATATAAAACAGTGCAAATAATATTTACTTATCCTACTGCTATCTACGGCTGTCAATTTATGTGTGGATGACATGACAATCAGTTACATTACAAGACTATTTACTATTTGTGAGTTTGCATCTTTATTTTCAAATCACCTGGTGAAGGAGATGCCACCAATCCTATTCAGAAGGTAATACTGACATAGAGAATTCCAAAACTAAATAAATAAATAATTAAATAAATAGAAAAATACAGAAAAGATTGGTTAAAAAGATTAACCAATTCCATCCTAAACCCACAAACGTAATTGACAATGACTTATAATTGCATTTAAGTTACAGTATCCTGTTCTACTTGTACCGTATGAAAAAGAATTCACTTATTGTAAACAATCTTCTCCATTTTTGCTTCCAATGCCTGCAAAATATGACTAAAGCTTTCTTTTGTTTATTTGAAATTGGATATTCAACAGTTCCAGGGAAAACTTCCTGAGATTTCAACTTCCATTTCCTCTACCAAGCAGCAGAAAAATGAGAGGAAACTGGAATTCTTACCCTGTACTTCCTTTTATCCCCTCAGGAACCTCCCGCAATGTAAAGCAGCCCTAAGGCTCAGGATGAAAGCCCAGGCCTAGCTGAGAAGCCCCATCTATTTCTCACTATAGCCTCCATCAGAGCATGGCTGTCCTGGTGCTGCTCCTCTGCCTGGTCACTTTTCCAAGTTGTAAGTGTTCAGAATTGCAGGGGAAGGACTCAAGAATGACATCTGTGGAATGTATGACTGATGGTGATGTGCCTTTTCCACAGGTGTCCTGTCCCAGGTGCAGATGAAGGAGTCAGGACCTGACCTGGTGCAGCCCTCTCAGACCTTGTCCTTCACCTGCACTGTCTCTGGGTTCTCTTTAACTGACTCTAGTGTACAGTGGGTTCGCCAGCCTCCAGGAAAGGGTTTGGAGTGGATGGGTGCTATATGGAGTGGTGGAAGCACAGATTATAGTTCAGCTCTCAAATCCAGACTAAGCATCACCAGGGACACCTCAAAGAGCCAGGTTTTCTTAAAAATTAACAATATGCAAACTGAGGACACAGCCACCTACTACTGTGGCAAAAACACAGTGAAGGAAGTCTAGTATTAACTTGCACAAAAACCTCCCTACAGGGATCCTCAGGACCAGCAGGGGGCAGTGAAAACCAAGAACTTCCCAGGCTCACTTTAGAATCTTAAGAAATTCTGGCCTATGCTCTATGAGCATGCTTTTTATTTTATTTTATTTTATTCTATTTTATTTTATTTTATTTTATATATAATTTATTTTTTTCAAATTTTAATTTATACTCACTCACACAGGGGTTATAAGCACAAAAAGGCAGGACATGGGGAAGGGGATGACACTGGAGCGTGGGTGTTCACAGGGAATACAGATATCTTTCAGATCAGGGTATTGGCTGGGTGAGGGTTCAGGGGACAGGTCATGACTCTGCCTATGATTCACTTGTCCTTATCTAAGTTGGTATTATCTGCCAAGGATACCTATTTACAAGGTCTATGACTATTCAGGCTGGTAAATTTCCACAAAAACTGCCTGTTTACAATAGCTTATAGCCATCTATTTCAGTGTTTATCCACAGAGACCCAAGACTTGGTGTTAGTATACATGTATGACAGGCCTATTGCTGATTTTAAGCCTATGACTGATTTTAGGCCTTCAGTGTATAAGCAGGGATGCCCCTGACATTTCCTCCCTTCTCTAAGTATAGACGGGCTGTGGTGAATCTAATCTTGCAAAGGTGGGGATAGAGGCCTGACCTCCAGTAATTGAAGGGAACCTTGTAATGGCTCTAGTCCCCCTGTTGTTGTCCAGTGAGGCATGAGGGCCTTACCCATCCTGATGTCATTTTCCTGGAGAGGGGATACTTTTGACATCAACCCCTATGCACTCAGACTTGTCCCTCAGGGAACCCAGAGAGATATTTTTAACTTTTATTGATATTCCCTTGCAGTGCTTAGCCTTGCATCCTAAGCAAGAATTCAGGTTGCCTGTCAGAGGTGGTTCTGGGTGGCCCCTCTCTGCTTGGTTTAGGGGCAGAAGTCCCCTCTTTTAGGTTGGGTTGAGATGGGTTTTGGGAACACCCTGGATAAAGTAACAACCTCATCTTGAGTCTCATGGTCCTCCATAGCTAACTTATGATAATGTATCTGAATAGGTTTTGCTACCAAATTATTTATCTGTTGTTTCACAGAGTTAGTCAGCCTCTTTGAGGCCCAGGGACCAGCAGAAATGAGCAAAAAGAGCCCAAATAATGGTCTCAAGATGAGAGGAGGTAGGGTTGACAACCCTGGAGAGGTTGAAAACCAATTTTTGTACCAGCATTCATTTGTGTGTTTGTTTCTCTATCCACAGATGTGTATGTGTTTGTATGTGTGTGTGTTTGTGTACATGTTGACATAAAATGCCTTCCTCTATTAGTCACCATGATATTTTAAGCATATTCTCTCACTGAGCTTTAAAATATCAGTTAGTTCAACTCTTTGGCCAGTGAACCCCAGTGATCATATTCCCAGTGATCATGCTACCCTCATTTTCCGGGGATTGGATTTCAAGTTCAATGGTACACTCGGCTCTTTTTCTCTCCATGGAGAACAAAGCTCAAAGGTT